TTTCCAAAACTCATCTAACCACTCATTCATTAAAGTTTTGTCTATCTACCCATTTTCTTGCATTTTAATAATAATACCCAAGGGAAACGAATCTTGGGGAAGTCTTTTGCCTTTGAAAATTACTATGAAGGGGAGTTTAACTCTATTAGCCAAGATTGCAAGAACACACATGAAGCAGTTTTTTCATTGTCTATAGTTAGGGTTAGGAATTTTTTGTAAGTTTAAAATTTCTTATGCGAGTTATATATAAGTTACAATAAGTGTCTTAGTATAAATTAAACTATAATATATCTTGTGTAGTTGGGTATAAAAGGAATTTTGTAGTGAGTATAATTGGCCACTTACGCAGCCGATTATACTCACTGCAAAATTTTCCTCATACCCAACTACACAGGATATAACTATTATATACAAAGTTTGCCTAACTCTACCTGTAGTTCTTATTTGAACTGTTTTTGCTGAATGGTAATCTACAGTAAGATTGCCAACCATATCAAAGTAAATGGGCGTTTCATTCATGTTTGCTATACAGGATAACTCATAGTTATTTATATATTGTGACTTTTTGATAAATTTATAAAACCAATCTAATTGTTTAGATAATTTATGAGAAAGTTTCTGTTCAACTTTAGTACAGTGTCAAAGTACAAGATTATATCAGTTCATAAATCTCTGGCACCAAGAATTTGAAGCTTCGAAAGTTTCTAAAGCATTAGGGTAGTCTTGTTAAAACCTAGTTCTAAGAAGCTTTTTCATTTTAAGCTTTATTGTAGACAATATTACTGCAAGACCATCTTGTCGTAATTGAACAATCTATTTATTTAACACCTTCTCTGTAAGAGGATATACAGCTTTCCTTCCAGAACTGACACTTCTATATGAACACAAAGCTTCTTTTAACTTTTTTTCTTGTTTTCGCCACCTGGATACTTGAAAATAATTAATACCGAATATTCGTGCTGCTGCTTTATTAGATGTTTCTTTTGCTTTTGAAATAATTTCAAGCTTTTGTTTAACCGTATAACTTTTACATTTTGTAGACATGTTTTGATCAATCTTTAATATTCGCAATTGGCTTTATATAGCTTCTCATAATATCATTACGTAACCTTAAATATCATGCACTGGTAATCTTAAGGCTTCCTTTTTTTTTATTTTAATTTTTTTTTTATTTTATTTTTTATTTTTTATTTTATTTTTTTTATTTTTATTTTTTTTTGAATTTAGCTAACTTTAATTCTTGGTTAAATTATAAACTTTTAACCAACCTTAATTTTTGCTTAAATTTAAAATAAAATTTAAATTAGGGTTTAGGTTAAAGTTAAGATTAAAATAAAGTTTTTTATAGTATTAAATATTTTTTGTTTAGTGTATTAAACATAAT